GGTGTGGGAGAAAGATAAGTCTACACTTAAAACTCTAGGGCCTGAGTGCCAGTTGTGTAGTTCATTTACACAAATCGTTCTCAATGAGATCATTAACTTATATGTGAAACATTTACTACACGAGAAAGCAAAAGGAAAAGTAATAAAAAATGTAGCTTTCAACTAATAAACTTGGGAAATACTCTCTCACTAATGAATACAGTGTCTGTGGGTAGGAAGAGTGGACACAAACTTGACAGAAACCTAGCAGTGAGGCACTAAAGTAGGGAAACTATTGAGCAGCTCACCATGCTGACCTTCAGTCCTACGTCTTTGCTCTTTTTAGGAAATGGTCTGCATCATGAATTAGCAGCTAGTCTCAGGCTGCTGAAACAGTGTTAAGCTTTTTACCTAACAGCAACTTTAAGCAAGAACTTCCCAGGTAGCCTCTCTTGGCTAGGCTCTGAGGCCTTAATTAAATGATCGTTGAGTTTAACTGGGTATTTGTGTTAATGCCCTATGTAGGTTGGATATCAGACTTTTATGAAAGACAGTTGATACAAATATTTTTTCCACTTGACAGTTTCTATCATTTTTTTCCTAGCTGCCTTAACTTTTTTTCCCCCAAAACTTCAAAATTTTATATAATTTACAAATTAATCCCTTAGTCCTTTGGTGTAACACTAAATCTCCAAATAAATTCAGGTTATAGAGTCATATTGGCATAGTACCAGCAAGAACAATAGCCACCATTAATTTGTCATTTGTCCTCTGTTTGCTTCAGCTTCATCAGCTGTAAAATGGGGACAATAATAGTACCTTCTCCCAGGCTTGTTGGTGAGAATCAAAGGTTCTGATATTTGTAAAGCACTTAGCACAGTACCTGGCACATAGTAGGTGCTTAATAAATACTTTCTTCTTTTCTTCCTCCTTCTATACAGTTTCATTTTATTACATAAGAATCCCATGGATTAAATGATCATTTAAAAATTTTTTTTAACGTTTTTATTTAAAGTTTTGAGTTCCAAATTCTATCCCTCCCTGAGAATAGTAAGAAATTAGATATAGGTTATACATGTCCAATTATGTGAAACAATCCATATTGGTCATTTCATACAATTAGACTCAAATAAAAGAAAAAAAGAAAGTGTAAAATAGCATGATTCAGTCTGTATTCAATCAGTGTTACTTCTTTCTCTGGAGGCTGTTAGTATGTTTCATCATTAGTACTTTGGAATTGTCTCAGATCATTTCATTGCTGAGAATAGCTTAGTCATTCACAGTTCTTCATTGAACAGTATTGCTGTTACTGTATATAAAGTCCTCCTGGTTCTGTTTACTTCACTCAGCATCAGTTCATGTAAGTCTTTCCAGGTTTTTCTGAAATCATCCCGCTTGTCATTTCTTATAGCAAAGTAATATTCCATTACAATCATATACCACAGCTTGTTTAGCCATTACACAGCTGATGAGCATCCCTTTGATTTCCAATTCTTTGCCACCATAAAAAGAGCTGCTATAAATATTTTTGTACAAATAGGTTCTTTTCCCTTTTTTTGGATGTCTTTGGGATATAGACCTAGCAGTGGTTTTATTGGATCAAAGGGTGTAGTTCCAAACTGCTCTCAAGAATGGTTGGATCAGTTCACAACTCTGTCAACAATGCATTAGTTTTCCAGTTTTCCTATATCCCCTCCAAAGTCCAACATTTTCCTTTTTTCTCATGTTAGCATTCTGATAGGTTTGAGGGGTCCTAAGAGTGGGATTTCTCTGCTTCTCTGCTCAGTAGTGATTTAAAGCATTTTTTCATATGTCTGTAAATAGCTTTGGTTTCTTTGTCTGAAAATTGCTTATTCGTATCCTTTAATGACTTATCAATTGGGGAATGACTTGTATTTTTATAAATTTGACTCAGTTCTCTATGTATTTGAGAAATAAATAAGGCTTTTATCAGAAATACTTTTTGCAAAAATTTTGTCCCAGTTTTCTGCTTTCCTTATAATTTTGGTTGCATTGGTTTTGTTTGTGCAAAAATTTTTTAACTTTATATAATCAAAATGATCCATACATTTTGTAATCCTCTCTATATCTTCTTTGCTCCTAAATTCTTCCTTTATCCATACATCTAACAGATAAACTATTCCAGGCTTTCTTAATTTGCTTGTGGTATCACCCTTTATGTGTAAGTCGTGTACCCATTTTGACTTTATCTTGGTATACAATGTGAGATATTGGTCTATACCTACTTTCTGCCATGCTGTTCTCCATTTTTCCCAGCAGTTTTTGTCAGATAATGAGTTTTTGTCCCAGAAGCTTGGATCTTTGGCTTTATCGTATACTAGATTACTCTGGTCTTTCTGCTGATCTGTCACTCTTATTCTTAGCCAGTACCAGATTGTTTTAATAGTTACCACTTTTTAATACAGAGATCTGGTATGGTGAGGCCACCTTCTTTTGCATCTTGTTTTTCATTAATTCCCATGATATCCTTGAGCTTTTGTTCTTCAGATGAATATTGTTATTATTTTTCTTAGCTCTTTAAAATAATTTTTGATAGTTTGATTGGTATGGCACTGAATACATAGATTAATTTAGGTAGAATTGTCATTTTTATTATATTGGCTTAGCCTCCCCATGAGCAATTAATATTTTTCCAGTTGTTTAGTTCTGACTTTATTTGTGTGAAACATGTTTTACAGTTGTGTTCATTTAGTTCTTGAGTTTGTCTTGGCAGGTAGACTCCCGAGTACTTTATGTTGTCTTACAGTTCTTCAAAATGGAATTTCTCTATCTCTTGCTCTTGGTCAATGATCATTTCTTTCTTTTTTTTTTTTAAATTTTTTTTTTTTTTACATTCCTATTGAACATTTTCACATTGGTGATGTTGTAAGGAAGAATTAGAACCAATAGGAGGAACCACAAGAAACAGGAAACAAAACAGAAGAAAAAAAGAGCAAACAGTCTGCTTCCATCTGCATTCAGACTCCATAGTTCTTTCTCTGGATGTGGATAGCATTTTCCATCATGAGACTTTTGGCGACGTCTTAGATCCTTGCATTGCTGAGAAGGGCTACATCTATCAACGTTAGTCATCGCACAACGTGGCTGTTACTGTGTACAACGTTCTCCTGGTTCTGCTCACTTCACTCAGCATCAAAGCGTACAAGTCTTTCCAGCTTTTTCTGAAGTCCGCCTGCTCATCGTCAGTGATCATTTCTAAGCAGATTATTCTCACGTCTCTTTCTCCAACTCAAACTTCTTACATCTCCAGTTGCTGGAACATTCTGAACTAGAGGTCTAGCAGATATTTTAAACCCAACATGCCCCAAATGAAAATCATTATTTTCCCCCCAGACCCTGCCTCTTCCTAACTTTTTTATCACTGTAGTGTACCACCATCCTCTGAAGCCCCCAGACTCTCAGGTACAATCCTCACACCTGGACTGTGACAGGGGCCTGTTGGTTGGTGTCCCAGCTTCAAGTCTCTACTCGGCTAACAAAGTGATCCTTCCTAAAGCTCCAGACACCCACACACACGCCCACACACCCACCCTCACAATGTAAAATCATTTATTTGACTGTTTTAACCCCTTCCTATCTTTCCAGCCCTCTTACTTATATGTCCCCACCGGGTACTCTTCCATCCAGTGATAACTGGCCTCCTTGTTGTTCTTGCACAGGGCATGCCATATCCTGCCTCCAGGCATTTTCATTGGTCGTTCTCCATGCCTGGTACTGTCTCCCTCCTCATCAGCACTTCCTGGTTTCCCTTATTTCTCAGCCAAATTCCTGCCTTCTGCAAGGAGTCTTTCCCAGTCCTCCTTAATGCACACCTTCACTCTGAGATAACCTTCAGTTTATCTTGTATGCAACTTGTTTGTACCTATGTTTTTGCATGTTCTCCACCCCCCCCCCCCATTACATTGTGAGCGCCTTAAAAGCAGAGACTTTTTTTTTTGGCCTTTCTCCTGTCCCCAGCACTTAGCACAGAGCCTGGTATATAGTATGCTCTTAATAAGTGCTTGCTGACTGATTTCTTTGGATCCGTTTGTAGTGAGCTGCATTTATGTCCATTTGCTTTTGATATATAATCTAGTTTGATAAAGACCCTACTCACATGAAGGAAACCAACCATCTTTTAAAATATACTGAGATTTCTCAGGCTGCTTTTAGCTGATACATTTTTAAATACATTGATTTACGGGCAGTCAGCAGCACTTGGAAATTATAGCACATGAGACCTATTGAAACCCTCTATTGCCTGGAAGCAGTTAGTGATGGCCCTGATCCCTTTATGCTTTCAGAATGAGAGCCATAGCTGGTAGATTACATTTGTCTCCTTAGTTATGCATGCTTTTCTGTATCCTGTCTGTATATTTCTAACTCTTTATTTACAAAAGGAGGTGTGATGGAGAAGCTAATGCTTTTAAGACTAGAAGAGAAAATGAAAGAAACTGATCAAAGGCCGTTTTCATTTGTTTTGTTTTGTATTATAGTCTGATTATAACTCTTCATAATTTGTTTTCAGTGTGCACGAGGCAGTCAGATTTCTTAACGGTTTCCTAAAATCCTTCCTAGTGGAAAGCTACAGAAGGAAGCGTGGAGTAGCCCAGTGTAGTTACGAATGCATTTTCAGTATGGAATGCTATATTTATCAGTAGCTTTGGTTCTTGGATATTCTGCAGCAGTAAAGGCCAAATGTATGGCCACTATTTGCTAGGGAAGTCTGTGATTTGGGCAGCTTATTATCATTGGGGCAGTTGGGCAAACAGTCAGCTTGCTAGGCCCTTGGAATACACGGATGAAAATGAAATGGACTTGACCTTCAGCGAGCTTCCATGAGGGGGATCCCCTGTAGAGGCGTGAATCAATACAGAGTCACCCAAGTAGCAGCCTGATGCTACCTGTGCCCTTCAGGCTTGCTCAGGTATTTGTTAGGAGTCAGACAAAACACGTCAATGAGGTCAGAAAAGGCTGTGTCTAAAACACTGACCGTAACTTTTTTGTTTTCCTACTTGTAGTGGCAGTCGCTCCTCCAAGACCTTCAAGCCAAAGAAGAACATTCCAGAAGGTTCTCACCAGTACGAGCTCCTGAAGCACGCAGAAGCCACGCTGGGGAGCGGCAACCTGCGGACAGCCGTTATGCTTCCAGAGGGGGAGGACTTAAATGAGTGGGTCGCAGTGAACAGTAAGTGGCCGCTCTCATCTCTCACTCTGGCATTCACTGCTGTGAATATGTGACTTTGCACTTGGCTCTAATAGGATTTTGTCCTTAGGAAGTATTTAGGAACAGATCTCTGAAGTTTCTTATCTGCTGCAAAATAGTGACCTTCGTTGACTGAAAGTGTGCTTCAGATTTGCAATTAGATAGCCATGTTACAAAGATGAATTACGTGCATCCATAGGTACTTTTAGCTCCTTGGGGGGAAATGATTTTTCAAGTACAGAGTGATAATGTTTTTGGTGGGTGGTGGTGAAGTGATGTGAGGAAAGGATGGAGATGGAAGGGCGTTAAATATAGAGGTTTCTTAAGTATTCATGAATGAATTGATTTTCTTTTTACCTCATAGAAATTGGTGTAAACCTTGTCACAATAAAATACAATCCAATTGAAAGAGTGACCTGAAGTATTTAATCTCTAAATTAGGAAAAGCCCTGCAATAGAATAATAGTTTGATTATTGCTGATTATGATTTGAATGAGACTAGTGAGTCTGCTGACAGCATTGTTGGCCACGGAGAGTTTGTGGGAACTGCAAGGATTGTCTGGAGATGGACAGATAGAGTGGAATTTGTGACTAAATTCCCTTGATTGGAATTCTAAAATCTCCGGTAACTCTGAAGAACTTCATTGATTTGCCTAATGCTAGGGAAGTAGTCCCACAGCATGGACATCCAGATCAGAGTCAGAGCAAGGTACAGATCTCCTGTGATGCTGTTCCTAGGTTATTGATTTGCTCTGCTGGGAGGATGCCTTGCCCATACTGCCCACAGCCTTCTTCTGCGCCTGGTGCCTGGTGCTCTCTCTCTCTTGTAACATCAATGTTTATGTTTATGACCTTATCTCAGATGAGAAGTTCTTTAAATTGGAGTTCATATGGTCTCCTGTGCCTTGTATCTAGTAGGTGCCTGGTAATGCATGTGAGTTTCCTCTCCCTTTGAAAGGATTTTGTCATCCTCTCCACTTGAAGAAGTAAAAATAAAGTAGAATTCCTATTTATATTCAACACATGTATTGTAGATCAACTATGCATGACCAGTGAGCTCGGTGCTGGGAAGTCCAGTGAGCTAGTATAGCACATGTAACATCTTTACAAGATCAAATGGGGCACTGCCATCCCCCAATGATGCCACCCCCCCCCAATATGAGAAAGGTGAAAGACAAATGCTTTGCCAAGCCCCAAAGGAAAGGGAAAGGATTGCTCCTTCCCAAAGGATAATCAGGGAAAGAGAGACTCATGCGGGGGGGTCATCCAATCTGGGCCTGAAAGGAGTGTGTGCATTTCCACAGAGTAGATACCTCACCATTCCAGGTGGAGAATCAAAGCCTCCAAGGTGCAGTATCTATGGAACAGAGATTAGTGGAAGTGTTTGTGGAGGGGAAGAGTATGAAATAAACCTGGAAAGCTAAGGTGAAGCCAGATTGGGAATTCTAGGTTTTCGAATCTGTGAATGCTCGGCTTAGACATTTGAACTTTATTTAATATTCATTGAAAGGTTTAAGCAAAGTAAATCTGTTGTTCCTTATGCACAAGTTAAGATACATCTTGATACAGTATACTTTAAAGGATTAATTGGAGGCTTGAGACTGGTTAGGGGGCCACTGAGAAAGTTCATGAAGTGGGAATAGAAAGGAAGGGATGGGTTGGAAGAGTAATGTAGAAGTTTTATTAGATAGGACTTAAAAATTGATTGTGGGTAGGGGATGAGAGGAAAAAAAGTGAAAGATTGAACATTTAGGCGGTGGTGGTTTGAGTAATTAAAAACAGGGAGGTCAGAAGGGAGAGTAATTTTAGGTAAAAAAGATACCAAATTTGGTTTTTCAGTACATTGAGTTATTGGTTGGAGCATCCATCTAGAAAGGTCCAGTTTTAAATGTTGAACTGAAGCTCCTCAAAACCGTCAGGTCTGGAAGTAGAGAGGATAAAATTGTGGGGATGAATGAGACAGGGCAGATGGAAAGAGGATTAAGGACACGGCCTTGCGGAGCACCAACAGTAAGGGCTGGGAAAAGGAAAGGAGATCGGTTAGGGGTCAGAAGAAAAACTAGGAGTATGTAATGTCTCATAATCCGCAGGAGGGAAAACATTTAAAAGAACAGTGTGTTCACAAGCATGCAGCAACTGGGGAACCATCAAGACGGAGGAGGATTGAGCAAGTCATTGAAGGTGGATTTGATAACGAGGCAGCCCCAGGTCATTGGTGTCCTTTGAGAGAACAATTCAGTAGCATGGTGAGGTTGGAATCCAGACTGTAGAAGAGTGAAGTGGGAGGAAGAAATAGAAGTTGGTCAGTAAAAAGAAGGAGGTGGAGGAGATAGGAGATGTGGAAGGATCAGAGGAGACCTGAATACATGTGTAGGCACATGGCACTGTGCCAGTGGATTTGCAAAGGTTGTAGATGAGCGAGGAGACAGGAAAGGAGGAGCAGAGAATAGGTCAAGTTACTGAAAAGTTCTGAGATGTACAGGAGGAGAATTGAGAGAAGTCGTGGCAGATAGGCTCTGTCTTTTCAGTGAAACGGCTGAATTGTCTGCTGGGAGTGTGAGAGCTAGAGGCTGAATGAAGGGCTGGAAGAGAGAGGCATTGCTGATCATTACAGACCAGCTAGTCAGATACCAATGTTTGTAGGTGATGAAGCTAAGACCCAGAGAGATGAAATCATTTGCCAAAGTCATGTAGAAGTTAGTGGCAGAGAGATCTCTCCTGATTCTCAGTCGGTGGGTGCTCTCTTCAAACTCCTCGAAAGAGTTTAAATGTTGGCCTTGGGGAGTGAGGTAAGAAATAAATGAACCTGGAGTAGGATTGCTGAATAGCATTGAAGGGCTGAAGGCAAATGGAGAAACATTGATGTCCAGCTGGTTAGTTGGAGTTCAAGGGGTGCCTGTCGTGTATGAGTTGGACTGTCTGGCTACTGTAGTCTCTTCTAATGTGATTCTGTGATGGATCTGTGATCTTGTTCATTTGGAAGCTGCCTCCCCCGTGGCTCAGTAGATAGAGCAACGGCCCTGTGGTCAGGAGGACCTGAGTTCAAATGTGACCTCAGACACTTACTAACTGCATGACCCTGGGCAAGTCACTTAACCCTGTTTGCCTCAGTTTCCCCATCTTTACAATGAACTGGAAAAGGAAATGGCAAACCACTTTGCCAAGTATCTTTGCCAAGAAAACTCCAAATGGGGTCACAAAGACTCAGACACAAATTAAACATCTGAACAATTCGTCTGACGTAGCTCCCAGTGCACCTGGGCCTTCCAAGGTCGCTGTTGTTTCTGTGTTCTACCAGGTTTGCTGTGGACAGTGTGATGGAGACCTTCTTTGTTTCTCTTCACCTGGGGAATATAGTTTTTGAAAGACTCTTTCCTCCCTCTTAGCACCATTTCAGTAGATAAAAGTAGCAAGCCCATCCTTAAAAATGATCTTAGTGTATTCTGTCGTTGAGCTTCTTAAAATCAAGATATTTGGGGTGGAATGTGTCTTTGAAAAGGATTCCACATTGGGCAAATTATTTTGATTTTTTTGAAAATGTTGCCATTTTATTGAGGAATATCTTCTTTGTGACATAAGCCCACAAAAATAAAAGACTTTTCTAACTTTACCTCAAAGAGCTATAAACACTAATTAACTGACTCTCTGTAGACCTGACAATAGCAGACATCCCAGGATTTAAATAAGACGAGGTGCCGCTCATAGGTTTATTTCAGACTGTGATGGCTGTGTCATCTGGGTTACTTTTCCGTCTTGATTTATTTCATAAAACTGAGGGGGGAAACCCTATTTGACACTTAAGGAAAACAAAAAATATTGGGATGAATGTGATTTAAAATTTAATTTAACTTTTCTGTTCATTCCATTTCCATGAACTAACTCTTGAAATACTTTGCAGCTGTGGATTTCTTCAACCAGATCAATATGCTTTATGGAACCATCACTGACTTCTGCACTGAGGAGAGCTGCTCGGTGATGTCGGCTGGCCCAAAGTAAGCTTTGTAGGGCTCTTACTCGGTGTACGTTTGCTCTTTATTTCCTTACTCTTGGGAGTGAGAGAAACAACTTAAACATCTAGGCAAAAAAGGAATAGTTAAGTCTGTGTGACTATTCCTGGTCATGTTGGTCTCCTGTTCCAGATCTTGTTGTGACTTTGCATGGCTTAATGCTTAAATTCCTTAGTCCGAATTCAGGGGCTTCCATGCCTTGTCCCTGGCCTGAACCTGCCTTTCCAACTTTGTCTCCTGCCATGTGGTACAGTGGAAAGAGTGTTGGCCCTGAGACTTAGCTCTGCCAGGCAGCACCTCTGGCTGCTCCTGATGGTGTTGGACAAGGTGACTTGGGAACTGAGCTGGCCTTCAGTGACCCTGGGCTGCCTCCCTGCTGCGGCCTCTTGGGTTCTCTGAATTCGCCTCAGGCTCTCTTGCCTCAGGGCCTTTGCTTCTTGTGGCTTGGCAAGGAGAAGGGCCACCTCTTTGTCAGAGAGTAGAGGGGGAGGGATTGTAAGATGGTGTCGAGGGTTTTTGAGATGAAGAGAATGGCAAAAGTAGCTCATGTCAAATGCCCTTAGTTTTCTCAGTAAAGTAAGAAGAAAAATCTTTAGCTTGGGAGAGAAGGTGCAGGAAGCATAAGCAGGGAGAAGTTGGGAGTAGATTCTTTAGGGAGTGAGAGAGAGACTCGGTAAGAGAGGTAAGAAAGGACTGTCTGCCTGCCTGCAGTGAGGGCCCAGCTGAGCATGGGTAACAGGCTTTGGTAGCATCCCCAGGCAGCACAGGCCGGAGATGTTAAGTGATTTTTGCAAATTTCCGGAAAGACATAGCTACTCTCCAAAGAAGGAAGATTTCCCGTGTTGGGAAATCTCCACATGGAATGTCACCAGAAGGTACCATGAGTTCTGGGGACAGCCCTCACAATATCTCCATTGCTGTAATGTGATCTTGGACATGTCTCTTCACCTCCAGGGGCTCAGTTTCCTCATTCATAAAACAATAGGGTTGGTTATGGTTGTTAAGGCCCCCCACTGCAGATCTGCAGACCCTCATCTCCTGCTGTTGATCATCTTGGAGAGATCCCAGAGTTGTTTAGACGATGAGAGAGGGGAAGGAGTGACTTTTGTCCGTGGTTGAGTGGCTAGAACATGGGAGAGGTCAGAATTGAACCCAGCTCTTCTGATCCTTTAGCTATGCGCTGTACCACACTACCTCTCCAATAGTCAAATATATGGACAGAAGAAGTGAGAAAATTGCATAAAGCCATTCGCATTAAAGAATCAAAGAAATTTAATAGACAGCAGTGGGCTTGTTTTCTGTCTCTTTCCAAGCCTGTCTCAAGTTTTGATGTCTTTGCTTTGCCTTTTTATGGAGTAGTTCATTACTTTATAGTTATGCCTCCTGTATTTATTGTTTCTTGCTACATCTAAATTAAGAAACATGGTCAATAGCATTCCACTGAACTTGAAGAAATCAACTATCTGTTTTATTGTACTGACTAAAGGAGACTTGGCTAGTTAATTATTATTGTTTCTGAGGCATTTATGTATCTGTAAACCAAAAGAGTGTAATTTTTGCCTTTCTTGTCCACCCACAACCGCTCCCCCACCCCACAGCTGCCCTTCTAAAGAAAGTTACCACAGAATATGTTTGGGAGTAGAAGAGAAAAGACAGATGTGTGTTTTCAGCAGTTGACTATCCACCAGTTATTTTTCCTTACTGCTCCTTTGTCATTTCAAATGCAAAGGCAGGTATTTGTATGACATTAAAGGAAATGCCTTTTGAAGGAAATGCTTTGAAGTTAACGAAGGCCATAATTCTTACTGCAAAAACATGTCTCCTACATAAGCTGATCGATGTGCGTAGTGAATCAAGTGAATACTTTTGAAGTGTGTTAGATCATTCATTACTTTGTCAGTTACTATTTTGTTGTAAAGTAACTGACTTTGGCCACACTTCCCAACCTCTAGGCAAAACTGAGTGCTACCCTCGCCTTTTTGACAGGTGTGAGCGTGGGAAGAGCTGGAAATGTCCAAGCTCCAAGCCCGGAAGTGCTAAATTAACCGTCTGTATGTTATTCGGAGGGGCTGTGGGTCCTGGTGGCTATTAAGCCGTTGGAATCTCATTTTGTCGTGTTCAGTTTTCCAAGCATCGATTCAGTAGAATAGAAGATGATAGCTGAATTCGGCCGTCACGGGGGTTTGGTGCCAGTGCTGGGGTAGGGACCTCAAGCTCAGGTCTTTGGTAGAAAGTGATACTCTGCTGCCTCAGTTTGGGGCGGGGAAGGAGACAGCAATTGCTTCATAGCACTTTTCTTTTTGATTTTTAATATCAACACTTAAGACTTGAGGAAAGGTTGCATAAGTAGGTCACTGTTTGGCCAGAGAAAATTTTCATGGAACAATATTTTTCAGACTAACGAAGACGTTAAACAGTTTGCAACTTGAAATATATTAACAGAATTCATAAATTTTTCTCTGGGAGATTTGCCGGAATAGTTGGGACAATTGGGAAAATCTTAGAGCAAAATTGAAGCCATTTAAGATTTTTTTTTTTTTTTTTAGTATCCTCTCAATGGAATATAGTCCTGGAGGATGCAGGGCTGTTTCATTTTTATCTTTGTTCTGTGGGCCTCTTGAAGTGCTTGGCATGGCACTTAATGAATGTTGAATTGAGTCCGATACTCCACTTCCTGCACATTCAGGAGGTTAATCCAGCTACTTTGAACTTGTGCTTATCGTCTTCCTTAAGCAATAGTAGGATGCCTTTGGAGAAGTATTTTAAGCATAAACTAATAAATCATCAGGAAAAAAGTACCAAGTTTTCCTAGTGTTTGTACATCCTGGCAATTGCCTGTTTCTCTCCAAGAAAACTAAATTTACTCTACCTTAGATAGCACTGTCAATGAAAGAAGACAGTGAAGTATTCCTTCAGAGTGAAATTTCCCTGCTTCTTCCTCTTTTCTTTGCTCCTTTCTAACTGTCCCCCACAAGTTACATTGTAGTATGTTTCTTCTGTAGTGTATCAGGTTATAGAAGGAAAAATATGGGGGTTGGTGATTGTCATAGGGGTTGCTATGATTTACTCATTGATAAGGGAAAATGAGGAGCAGGGCCATCTTCAGTCATCCTGATCTGTGTCTGGCCACCAGACCCAGATGTCTCCAGAGGAGAGAATGAGTCTGGTGACTTTGCACAGCCCTGCCTTACTTAAATGCAATTCACTTGCAAGTCATGGCATCACCTTCCTGATGTCATAGTCCTCTTCAAGAAGGAATAACAAGGACAAATAACAACAAGGGAAAACAAGGGAGAGAAGTCCTAACATGAAGATGTGGAGCTTGAGTTCAAGTGTGTCTCATCTTGGGCAAGTTGTTTAAACTCTCTGTACCCCAGTTTCATCATTGCAAAATGAGGCATGACTCCAAAGGTGTCTCCAGCTCTGAGTTTTTCGTCCTTACTGAATACATAAAAATATCTTTGCTGGCTTTCAGACTTGCCCAGTCTCCTGATAGTATAGAGATACTGGAATTGTCACTTGCTTTTCACTAGCTGTTTTGCTTCAAAGTTCCATAGAACCATTTAACAAAGATGAGATGTGATTTATTTCATTCGTTTTTACTTTGCAGTCAGGATATTTTTGCCTCGAAGTTTAAACATTTTTTAGGAGAGATGCCTGGAAGGACACTGGAACCTGAGTTTTAGCACATCTAAAAGCCATACATTGCCTTCCGTGACTGCATGAACAGTTGAGATCATTTTTGTCATCCTCTTTAAATAGTTTTGTCTTCTCAGCAGGATAATTGAGCTATTTCCCTTTCCTCGTCTCTTCTTTGGTCTCATGCTCTGTGTCTTGCAGGAAGCAGAAAGCTTTCTCAACTCTTGTCTTAATAAAGAGCAAAAAATTTTGGATTATGCAATGATTTGTTCTAATCCTATATGTTTTAATAATTTGAAAATTTAATCTTTGTTGTCTAAGGAGGTTTTAGGCTTGGGTAGTATTTCATTTAGCTGTGGCCTTTTGAAAGGTAATGGGTTCTTTTAATAGCAGATTGCCTACAGGGGGTGTTTGGCAGTGGACTCTTATCTTGAGAACAGGACCATTTGGTATGAGATATTGGGTGGGTCAACTTTCTAATATTAGTCCTATCTGTACCACTGTATGTGGGTGTTTTTTTTTGAGTTCTCTTCAGTTTATCTCTGAAAACAGATATTTCTCTCCTTTTTTTTTTTTTTTTTTTTGGTGAGGCAGTTGGGGTTAAGTGACTTGCCTAAGGTTACACAGCTAGTAAGTGTCAAGTGTTTGGTTTGAGGCTGGATTTGAACTCAGGTCCTCCTGACTTCAGGGCTGGTGTTCACTGCGCCACCTAGCTGCCCCAGATATTTCTCTTCTTGCCATTAAAATATCATATTGGGGTTTTGGGAGGCATGCATTTTGAAAATTAAAAAGCACCTACTGCTTAAGGAGAATAGGTTTCCAAGAACCTTATTTAGCTGGGAAGCCATGTTTCTGTGCCCTGGAACTACGTGTGTGCATGAACATACGTATAGGTTATGTTTATCTTATTACTCTCCCCTTCCTCCTTTCATTGGTGTCCCTTCTATAGTATTTTCAAAACAGGGCTGCTTTTTTTTTGTTGTTGTTAGATTGGCCTTAAATGTTAGAGGAGACTTAGTTTTGACTTATCCGTCTGGCTTGCTGGTATGATTTACTGTTAAGTCGCAAGTAGCATAAATGATTAAAGCCAGTGGATGGATAGCAGTTTGAGTTTTGGTGATAGTCTTAGGACTGTCTCTTTAAACTATTATTATTTAATGTGTCATCAGATAAAGAAAGGAGAACATGCTTTTATGAAGTATCACTTCTTTGACCTCTGAGATGATTAGAATACCAGTAGTTTATTGATAGTAGGATAATGCAGATACTCTTCCAGATAAAGGGAAGCAAAACAGCCCAGCTCCCTCACAACACTTCCACAAGGATTTTTTTTTTCCTTTAAGGCATAAGGCCAAGAATCAAGAAATCCAAGGAGAAACTACAGTTTCCAAAGGTGGATTTTGCCAGCCCAGGCCCACATAAAGAGACAGTCAAAAGCCTGTGGACACTAAGGGATGGTAACAGCCAGAGAAGCCTAGAGCCTAAAGCTTTGTGATGGCAGGGACAGGAGAGCCTGGATCAGGAAACATGGAGCCTGTAACTATGTCACCCTTACCTGAAGCCAAGGTGCAGAAGCCTGTGTTGGTTTTGACCAGAAGGGTCAAAGTTAAGAGTCATGGAGGGATTAAAAAGAGAGAGGACCTGGGAGCAGTTGTATAACACGTTGATGATTTTTTTTTTTCAGCCAAAGACAAGGTTTATTAGAACATCGTCATATCGGGCAGACTCTTAAGGAGTCTGAATATTAGTGAGCTATTGACTAGATTATAAGAATCTGACCAGTGGCTAGATTATAAGAATCAGAGCCAACACATTGATGATTTAAGAGAAAAAAGAAAAGGGAAGGGAAAAGGAATACACCAGAGAAGAAAGAGGGAGGAAGGGGATGGAATTTACTATCTTGCGTAATCAGGAGTTTGGCATAGAAATACATTAAAGTCAGAGAATCAAGAGGAAAGGAAGAAGAGAAGGGAGGACTAAGAGGGAGGATGGATTCAGAAATGGTTAATCTTAAGCCAGAGAAACTCTAGCTTTGGCAAGTGGAGCATGAAGGGAGGAGTGAAAGGAAAGACAGACAGACAGACAGACAGACACACACACACACACACCACCCTTTTAAAAATTTGTAAAGTGCTTCACCGATATTATTTTAATTGAACCCAGCAATAACTCTGGGAGGCGTTTGCTATTTCCCTCATTTTGCAGATGATTAAAACTCAGGCAAATAGTGGTTCAGTTACTTGCCCAGGGTCACACACCTAGTGTCTGAGGCTGGATTTGAACTTGGGTGTTCTTGACTCCAGGTCCAGTGTTCTGTGCACTGTGGTGCCCCCTCATCAATATAATGTTATTTTTTAAAAAATGATTTGGAGTAAGGTGTGCACAAGCTATTCCTTTTGCCGTTGTCATCTTTGATTCCTTCCTTTTAAAAAGGACCTAGAAAAATGGAGAGGCCCAGAGCTAAACAGGTCATCTCACATGAAAAGGAGAAGGCAGGGGTGAGCAGGTTCTGAAAGGAAGGATTAATTTTAAGTGGATGGGCAAATGAGGTGCTCTTTATGCCCTAAGAAGATCAAAACACTTTTCTACCACCCAGAGTTGGGGATAAATGATTTGGGGTTGGGAGGTGCTTTAGAGGTCATCTCATATGAGGAAGCTATTAACTTAGTAATCTTCTGGTGAGCTTTGTCTTTTCTGTATTACATACTTTGCTTCTATTAAGTCATAGACATGTCATTTTAATCATGCAATACACATCTCAATTCTTCTTCCTCAAATTTATATCAGACAGTGTTTTTATACTTTGGATTCAAAATAATGGGGGAAGAACTCAAAATGAACCTGATAGCTCTTCAGGTTGTAATTTACCAACAATACTTGTGTTATGTTGTATACACCTCAAATTTATGAAAGTGGAGTGGTGTGTTTGAAGACAGAACAGTCTCATTTGGGAGAGTGAGAAGGGTATCTGGATTAATTTCCTAACCAATTCATATTAAATTAGTAGTAGATGGTAGAAACATGGTTTTGGGAAAGTGACATCAGTGTAGAATTTGAGCCTTCATTTATTCCTTAATGAAACATCTGAATTCTCAAAAGTCATGTTTCAAAACAATAATTCTTAAAGTTAGTCAATTCTTTGCAGGTTTCTATATTTTCCAGTAGTGGTTTTTTGTTTTTTTTGTTTTGGTTTTTTTTTTTGGCCACTTGTATAACTTTAAATCAAAGGTTTTTAGAAAATTCTGTTGAACTATTTCCCTCATCTATACCTTTACCACCTCCCTCCAAAAACCCTAAACCCAACAACAGATGCATTGAAACAAACACGTTAAAACCAGTTGGAAAGACCTAACTTAGGTGGGAGGAATTCTTTTCAGGTCAATAAAGCAAGCTACTGAGTTTAGAAAGAAATCAGCTTGGAACAGGGGAATAAACAGTTCATTCTGCTCTGACATTTATATAATTGTCTGACCTAAGGGTTATGAATGAGAGGGAGTCAGGTGGAAATAACAGATAGGGGGTGGGGAGAGGCCTGGCCTTGAAGCGGGAAGACTAACATGACAGCAGCTGCCCAATAATAGCACTTGGTCATAAAACCCAAAACTAAATAGAATATGAAGATGATGACATCAGTCCTGCTAATTTTTTTTTTTTAGATTATTTGGGGAAGAAAAATGAATTACTTTTAAAGCCAGTATGTGTATGTTGACATTTTATGTCTTTCCTAATTCAGGTATGAGTATCATTGGGCAGATGGAACCAACATAAAGAAGCCTATTAAGTGTTCTGCACCAAAATATATTGATTACCTGATGACTTGGGTACAGGACCAGTTGGATGATGAGACATTATTTCCATCCAAAATAGGTAAAATTACCGGTGAAGTCTGGATGCTGCGATGTCATTTGGAATTCTTTATGCTTATGGGAGCACTGCCTCTCTCCTCACTCATTTGTTTCTGCTCCCTGCTTTCTTTCTCTCCTGCCTCATGGCGGGTATTTTGCTTGCACTGATATGAGTAGAGTAACTCCAAAGGAAATATTACCTACTTCCTAGTCTGAAAGGTAAAGTTTATAAAACTATTAGGTTTTTAAGAAGAAGTTGGTTCAGAGTTGTTTTGGTTTGGACCTGTGATTTCACTGGTGTATAGAATTCCCAGTACAGAAATTCCATTTCCTGATGAAGATTAGGAAATCATCTGTAGTTTGGTATTATATTGTTTAGAGCACAAACAAATTAGGTAACAGCCAGTTAGTATGTCAGAGGCCAACCTTAAACCCAGATCTTCTGACTCCAGTAATATCAAAATATACCCTGCTGCCTCTCACTAAGTTTTTAGATTACAAAAGTTTTACAGTGCTTAAGTCAGATTAAAGAAAAAATTACATTATAGAGGACAGAGCTAAGATGGCGGAGTGAAAGCAGTGACTGGCTTGAGCTCTCCCCCAGACCCCTCCAAATACCTGTAAAAAATGGCTCTAAACAAATTCTAAAGCAGCAGAACCCACAAAAAGACAGAGTGAAACAAATTTCCAGCCCAAGACAACCTGGATGGTTGATCTGAAAGGTATATTGCTCCTGACGCAGTTCAGCGTGGGTGTGCAGGCCACAGTGAACCTGGAACAGGCCTCAGGGGACTGAATCACAGGCAGCTGTGGCGGTTTCCAGACTTCAACCCATGAACACTGAAGACGACTTAGAAGGTCAGTGGGAAAAGTCTGTGTCTGCAGTGAGAGAGAGAAGCTAGATCCCAGCCGCAAGTCCCAAGCGAGGCCCGGGGCAGTGGCTGCTTCCTGAGCATCTGGCCCACAGACTGAGGGGGAATGGGGTGACTGATCAGAGAGGGAGTGTAGGGATCTCTTTGCCAGTGCTGAGGCAGGAATCTCTTGCTTTGCCCATGCTTGGATCTAGGTCACAGTTCTGGGTGGCGGTCCTGGAGTGAGGAGGAGCGCTGGCATGGTGGAGCTTGTAGTGGCTGTGGAGAGGAAACCCTCCTCACAGTTCCAAGACAGAAAAGAGTGCTCATGGACCAGAGCACAGGCCAGGAAAGGAGTAAACACCTTGCCCTTCATCATAGCACCTTGGAAGAACTGAAAATTTACAGGTGCCTGGAAGTATCTCTGAAAACAGCTGCACAAAACCCCGAAGCTGGAACAGTATATTCTCCACACTGGACACAGACCGTTTACCTTAACAAAGAGTTTTGGCTGGGATCATGAGCAAGCAGCACAAAAAGAGTCAGACTATATTATCTTACTTTGGTGACAAAGAAGATCAAAACATACAACCAGAAGAAGACAATGAAGTCAAAGCTCCTACGTCCAAAGCCTCCAAGAAAAATATGAATTGGTCCCAGGCCATCAAAAAGGATTTTGAGAAGCAAGTAAGAGAAGTAGAGGAAAAACTGGGAAGAGAAATGAGAGTGATGCAAGAAAATCATGAAAAACAAGTTGACAGCTTGCTAAAGGAGACCCAAAAAAATACTGAAGAAAATAAGACCTTAAAAAATAGCCTAACCCAAATGGCAAAAGAGGTCCAAAAAAGCCAACGAGGAGAAGAATGCCCTAAAAAGCAAAACTGGCCAAATGGAAAAGGAAGTCCAAAAGATTACTGAAGAAAATACTTCCTTAAAAATTAGAATAGAGCAATTGGAAGATAGTGACTTTATGAGAAATCAAGACACTGTAAAACTAATCCAAAAGAATGAAAAATTAGAAAACAATGTGAAATATCTCGTTGGAAAAACAACTCACCTGGAAAATAGATCCAGGAGAGGGAATTTAAAAATTATTGGACTATCTGAAAGCCATGATCAAAAAAAGAGCCTAGACATCGTCTTTCAAGAAATTATCCAGGAAAACTGCCCTGATATTTTAGAACCAGAGGGCAAAATAGAAATTGAAAGAATCCATCGATCTCCTCCTGAAAGAGATCCCCAAAGGAAAACTCCTAGGAATATTGTAGCCAAATTCCAGAGTTCCCAGATCAAGGAGAAAATATTGCAAGCAGCCAGAAAGAAACAATTCAAGGATTGTGGAAACACAATCAGGATAACACAAGATTTAGCAGCTTCTACATTAAGGGACCCCAGGGCTTGGAGTATGATATTCCGGAGGGCAAAGGAGATACGATTACAACCAAGAATCACCTACCCAGAAAAACTGAGTATAATCCTTCAGGGGAAAAAAATGGTCCTTCAATGAAATAGAGGACTTTCAAGCATTCCTGAGGAAAAGACCAGAGCTAAATATAAAATCTGACTTTCAAATACAAGACTCAAGTGAAACAGGGAAGAGGTAAACAGGAAAGAGAAATCATAAGAGACTTATTAAGGTTGAACTGTTTACATTCCTGCATGGAAAGATGATATTTGTAACTCATGAGTCCTTTGTCAGTATTAGGGTAGTGGGAGGGGAAAAAATTGTATGTATAGATAGAAAGATAGATAGAGGGCACAGGGTGAGTTGAAGATGAAGGGGTGATATCTGGAAAACAAAATTAAGGGGTGAGAGAGGATTATACTGGGAGAAAGAGAAAAGGAGAAGTAAAATGGGGTAAATTATATCACATGAAACAGACAAGAAAAGGCTTTTACAGAGATGGGGAAATGGGGGAAGGTGCGAGGGAATGAGAGAGTCTTATTCTCATAGGATTGGCTTAAGGAGGGAGTAACATACAAAATGGAGTATGAAAAGCTATCTTACCCCACAGGAAAATAAGAGGGGAAGGGGACAAGAGAGCAGGGGGTTGATAGAAGGGAGGGCAGATTGGGGCAGGGGATAAGCAGAAGAAAATACTTCTGAGGAGGGACAGGGTCAAAAGAGAGAATAAACGGGGGGTAGGACAGGACGAAGGGAAATATACTTAGTTTTTCACAACATGACTACTATGGAAGTGTTTTGCATGACTACACATCTATAACCTGTACCGAGATGCTTGCCTTTTCAAAGAGGGTGGGTGGGGAGGGAGGAAGGGAGAAAATTTGTAACCCAAAGTTTTAAAAACACATGTTAAAATAAAAATTAAAAAATTAAAAAAAAAGAAAGAATGGCACAAGATACTCATGGCCACAGAGATGTAGTACTGGGGTGGGGGAGAACCACAGCACATGGCATCTCTAGGTCCTCTATACGTCAAGTCTAAAAGCAAAAAAACTTCCCAACTCAACTCACCTGCACAAAAAAAATGAAGTGCTTGAAGGATGTGTTAAGATGGGCTTCCTCCTGCAGCTGGATCACTGGGTCAAAGTGCTGATGGTAAATATGTGCATAGACCCTGAACAGACGCTTCAGGATAGTTTTTGCCACTGACATGAAGTTCTTCGGGAAGGGGACACCTGGGAAATTAAAGCATAGAAATTAGTTAACAGTAAATTAGAACCCAATGTCTAACAGGGGAGGGTAATGTGCCTAAACAGAAAAATCGCACTAGTAGCAGCTGAGGGGCAGCATTTTATTTCTTTTTTTTTACTTTACCAATATCACTTTTTTTAATATAACCTTTATTTCCAAATATATCCTTCCATCATCTTTACTGAGAGAGCCATCCCCTATAACAAGGAATTTTTTTCAAAACAAATAAAAATAAAAATACTTCAACAAAACTAATTAGCACCTGAACCAAGCTGGCCAGTCCATCAATCTATTCTCCTAACATACAAAAATCCATCCAATTAAATCTATCAGGTTTCAGTCACCAGGTAACACAGCTGACTTAGCCAAGCTGATTACATTGTTATTTTCATTAACATACTGAAGCTTTTAGAAGCATGGTCTCAATTACTGGAAATTATAATGCCATTTGGCTTTAAAAGGTGAAAATTACTTCATCTACTGTACTGCCAGTTGCCTCTAACGAGACTTCCCATTCTATTAATTCCTTTTGGATTGTGTTACTGTTACATATAGAAATACTGATGATTTTTTGTGGGTTTATTTTTATTTTGTATCCAGATACTTGTTTCTTTACTGATTCCTCTGGGTTTTCTAAAGAAGCTATCATTTCATCAGCTAATGGGAATTGTTCAATCTCCTATTTACCTGTGTTTTATGCCATTAATTTCTCTTTCATCTTATTGATGTTGTGTGCATTTCTAGAATTATGACAAATGCTCTTGTATTTGGCATACTGAGGTTTTCTAGTATTTCCCCATTGCCAATAATGTTTACTTTTGGTTTTAGATATATGTTTGCCATTCTATATCTATGCTTTATAGGATTTTTTCTACTGCCATTTTTGGAGAAATCTGCATAGTAGTTATTACTGTATTTGATGATCTTTTGTCAATTCATCATGAGAGATACTCAGCCTCACAATTTGGAGCCATAGTAAAATGGTATGAACAATTCTCCACCTCGCCCTGCAACCTCCTCCACACCAATTATTTTAGGAAAAAGGAAGTGATCCAAGATTACAGCCCACAGGGCAGGGTGGCTCTACCAGCCCATATAGTCTGATTTCTAGAATAGTGCTTCATCTTTTATAACTACTATTTTTTTTCTTTTTTTTTGGTGAGGCAATCAGGGTTAAGTGACTTGCCCAGGGTCACACAGCTAGTAAGTGTCAAGTGTCTGAGGCCAGATTTGAACTCAGGTCCTCCTTAACTCCAAGGCCAGAGCTCTATTTATCACCACTATTTTTAACACTAACATTTATTTAACACCAGAAATGTACTGATTACAGGGAAACAAATACTCAGTTATGTTTAAAGTCCCTACTCTTTCCCTCTATTCTATTCCCTCTCTTCTCTACCAGCTAATTTTTTCATTTCTCTATGATGTCTGTCCAAGAAATTAAATGTGATCCCTGCTCAACCAACTAATTCTTCATATCTTCTAGCACATTTACAGTGATCATTAACCATTAAGTTAGAAAAATAGAAATAAAACACTGTAGAACCTGCTACAGAAATTATCAAGACACAAGGTCTTGTATGGGTGAGCAAATTACATGGCAAGGAAAGGGGTTAAGAATGCAAAGTCACTACAAAGAGCCAACAGCTTTCTCTCTAAATATCCCAGAAGCTAAAAATATTGCAGGTTGAACGCACATGTGCAAAATCACAGTAATACAAAGTAGACATTTAAGTCTTCATAGATTTGGTATAAGACTCTGGTTCTGAAATATCAGGGCAGTTTTCCTGGATAATTTCTTGAAAGACGATGTCTAGGCTCTTTTTTTGATCATGGCTTTCAGATAGTCCAATAATTTTTAAATTCCCTCTCCTGGATCTATTTTCCAGGTGAGTTGTTTTTCCAACGAGATATTTCACATTGTTTTCTAATTTTTCATTCTTTTGGATTAGTTTTACAGTGTCTTGATTTCTCATAAAGTCACTATCTTCCAATTGCTCTATTCTAATTTTTAAGGAAGTATTTTCTTCAGTAATCTTTTGGACTTCCTTTTCCATTTGGCCAGTTTTGCTTTTTAGGGCATTCTTCTCCTCGTTGGCTTTTTTGGACCTCTTTTGCCATTTGGGTTAGGCTATTTTTTAAGGTCTTATTTTCTTCAGTATTTTTTTGGGTCTCCTTTAGCAAGCTGTCAACTTGTTTTTCATGATTTTCTTGCATCACTCTCATTTCTCTTCCCAATTTTTCCTCTACTTCTCTTACTTGCTTCTCAAAATCCTTTTTGATGGCCTGGGACCAATTCATATTTTTCTTGGAGGCTTTGGACGTAGGAGCTTTGACTTCATTGTCTTCTTCTGGTTGTATGTTTTGATCTTCTTTGTCACCAAAGTAAGATAATATAGTCTGACTCTTTTTGTGCTGCTTGCTCATGATCCCAGCCAAAACTCTCTGTTAAGGTAAACGGTCTGTGTCCAGTGTGGAGAATATACTGTTCCCGCTTTGGGGTTTTGTGCAGCTGTTTTCAGAGATACTTCCAGGCACCTGTAAATTTTCAGTTCTTCCAAGGTGCTATGATGAAGGGCAAGGTGTTTACTCCTTTCCTGGCCTGTGCTCTGGTCCATGAGCACTCTTTTCTGTCTTGGAACTGTGAGGAGGGTTTCCTCTCCACAGCCACTACAAGCTCCACCACGCCAGCGCTCCTCCTCACTCCAGGACCGCCACCCAGAACTGTGACCTAGATCCAAGCATGGGCAAAGCAAGAGATTCCTGCCTCAGCACTGGCAAAGAGATCCCTACACTCCCTCTCTGATCAGTCACCCCATTCCCCCTCAGTCTGTGGGCCAGATGCTCAGGAAGCAGCCACTGCCCCGGGCCTCGCTTGGGACTTGCGGCTGGGATCTAGCTTCTCTCTCTCACTGCAGACACAGACTTTTCCCACTGACCTTCTAAGTCGTCTTCAGTGTTCATGGGTTGAAGTCTGGAAACCGCCACAGCTGCCTGTGATTCAGTCCCCTGAGGCCTGTTCCAGGTTCACTGTGGCCTGCACACCCACGCTGAACTGCGTCAGGAGCAATATACCTTTCAGATCAACCATCCAGGTTGTCTTGGGCTGGAAATTTGTTTCACTCTGTCTTTTTGTGGGTTCTGCTGCTTTAGAATTTGTTTAGAGCCATTTTTTACAGGTATTTGGAGGGGTCTGGGGGAGAGCTCAAGCCAGTCACTGCTTTCACTCCGCCATCTTGGCTCTGCCCCAGAATGTAAGCCTGAGCCATTCTTTCTAGGTCACTTTTCTGTAAAGACCTCAGCCCTTAGCCCAGTTCCTGGCACATACTAGGCATTTAGTAAATGCTTTCTTGATTGTTTCTCAGCCTAAAATAAGCTCTTAGCATACAACATGGCTGTCCAAAACAGCTGTAGAAGGTCCCATCTTATATGTCCCAAGGTCAGAGAATGTGTGAATCCTCTTGGAGAGGTGAGAGCAGTGTGTTTAGTTTAACCTAAGGCACCTCCTAACATCAGCCTGCTCTCCTGAATTGGGCCTCCAAGGCAGGCAAAACCAGCCACTGTGGCAAACACATCTGACAGCGAATGCAACATTCTACATGTTAGGCTTTTTTTTTATATAAGTGGAGGTTGATTATGCAGTTTTATGACTGCAAGGGTGCCTGTTATAGTACGGCATTCTAGAAAGCCTTCAGATATGTCATTAGGAATCCGGTGGATGTCGTTCAAATCGTCTGACTTCTGACTTCACCGCTGACTGAAGCTACCCTGATTTTTCAGTTGTCGAGTCTCATGGTCTTTTCTTGATGCTCATCCTCCTTGACCTCTCCACTGTTAACATTCTTCTTCTGGGCTTTTGTGACCCTGCTTTCTGTCGGTTCTCCTACCTCCCTCAGTCTCCATTGCTGGCTCATCCACATCACGTCCCCCCGTGAGTGTTTCCCAAGATTCTGTCTTGGGCCCTCGTCTCTTCCTTCACTCTACTTTTGCTTGGTGGCCTAATCAGCTTCCATTTGTTTAACTGTGTCTGTGCATGTGAGACTCCGGAGCACTAGCCATGCACCTCTGCCCCCCTATTGAGTATTTGAAACTGAATGTCTTTTCCCCCCAATACCCACTCCCTTTTAAAAAAATTTCCCTGGTTTGTCAATGGCATCGTCGTCATCCTTCCAGTCACTTATATTCACAGTCTTGATATTATCTTTGTTTCCTCTCTGTCTCTCACCCCGTATATATGAAAAATTTCTGTGGAATAAAAATACATATAAAATATGTTAACCTTGTCTTTTCTCTGTCTTCATATCATGTAGGAGTTCAACTTAATTGACAGAAGAGAACTTGCTCCACTCCAAGAACTGATTGAAAAACTGACGTCAAAGGACAGATGAGAGGATAAGAGGGCTGTTCCAATCATATCTTACTTAAGTCAGGCTCTTAGGAATATATTTGGGGTTGTTACTTGGTTGGGTGGTTTGGGGATTTATTTGAGTTTATTTTCCTTAATTTTTTTTCCTCCTGAATAAATGAAAACCTTTTCTGTTATTTTAGAGGCAGCCAAGATCCATTCTCTGTGTTTTTGGTGGAGCACAATCTTTTCTCTTAGTGACTTACAGTGGTGTGGACATTTTTTGTTTTTGTTTGGGATTTGGGGACGGGATTGGAGATGGGGTCTACCTCCTTGTAGGTTTTTAGCTGATGCTGTGTGCTTGGCCCTACTGGTGGATGGGTTCTACATGGTGTAAATTGTGGCCCATTCCTAACATTAAAGACTTACCTCCTTAAGTGCCTTGGCAGAAGGCTCACTTCTGAGGTGCAAAGCACAGATGAGCATTGCTGAACACAACGGACTGATCACTACCCACAATGCTTGGTGATGATGATAATGATGTTTCTGTTAGATTATCTAATTTTTCAAAAGCCATAGTTTGCCTCAATTGGTGATCTCCAGCTTTTAATACATGAAGAAACAGAATTCTTGAAGATGTGAATGTAGATCTTTTAAAAAAAAAAACCAACAACCAGAGATAACATTTGTTAATAATTTATGTTAATGATGGTGGTGTTGCTGTATGTTGCTCTGTTCTCCCAATGATGAAAGTTCTGTTATGAGCAGGTCTTTTTCCACCCCTTGATGTCTGTGATGTTGAAACTGGAGGAGACTAGAATGTGTTTCCATTCCAGCGTGCTCCTCATTCAGACACGTGCCTGAACTCTAGGTCATAAAGTATTTATTGCCACCTCCTGAGGTGATGCAGCCAGCCCCATCTGGGAGGTTTCTCACCAGTTGCCAAATGAGCCATAAGTCTCCTTCCACTGTGAAGAGAATCAAAAATATTTCCACTGAAATAATATTTAAGAAAGGCCTATCTTAAAGACCCAGGATGAATTTCCTTGTAAACCCAGTTTCTGAGAACCCCTCCTCTTGTACTTAGAGCCAACTCCCATTGGTAGAGAATTAAATACTCTTTACTCTCTCAGCATAGACATTAAAAATGGAGTGGAAGGAGAGTTTTTGGAAGTACTGGTTATTTTTCAACACCTCCATTTAGTGGATGGAGCTGTTGGGTTTGCCACTTAAGAGTGACTACCACATTTAATGACACATTCTCATAATTGCTTGCTGCTGGCCCTTTTTGAAGGTTGGCTTTTTTTTTTTTTAACTTCAGCTAGTTTCTAACGGGAAAGGAAAGTCTCTATTATGTGGTATAATTAAGTATTCAAAACAGCGACTAACTTTAAAAGTAAAATCAGTTTTCAATGAGTTCCATCCTTTTATAACAATTTATAACAAAAGAGAATGTTTTGTACATTGTGCCAGCAGCTTTCACTTAGCTGTAGCTGTTCTTAAGAAAACCCCCAGCTTGCAGTGATCTCTTCTCTGATGCCAGTCCTGGCCTCCTGGAGCTGGCCCAGTCTGGTCCTCCCCTGCTGTCTTCTTGCACAGTAATTCAGATTAGTAGCACTTTGGGTTTCTTTCCTAATGAACAGAGCAGTGACTGATGGATGTCAGTAGCATCACTACTGCCCAGGCCTGCCTTGGCTCCATTCCTCTTCTTGGTCCAGCATACATTGATCAAGTGTTAGCAATAGACAAGTAATGCCTTGGAAGAGATGCATCCATCGGAGACTGGTAATATTTATATGGCACGGCAATAAGAGGCAATTGATAATATATACTTCTCCTTTAAGGGAAAAAAAGTATCTTCTAGTTACCCACATAGATATTAACTGAATTAGTTAATTCAGAAACAGCTGGGTGCCAAGGGGTTTAGGGATCTACAAAGATCCTGTCTGCACAGGAAAATAAAGCACAAGGTCACCCAAGTGGTCTTCCATATCATGTTTCACCTTCTGTAAACCCCCTGACAGCAGGAGTGCAGTAGCCAAGTGGAGAGAGAATGAGGAATTGTTCTTGCGCCTGATAAACTTCATGCAGCGCTGTTATGCTGGGGTATGATGATTCTCTAAGTTTAAGCTAATGTTGATAAGTATGCATTGATTTCCCAGTGTTTGTAGCTAAGTTTTTGTTCTCACTGTGCCAGAACCTCAGGTACCTGCCTCTGGGTACTCCTCTCATCAAAGACATTGGGGTCGGAGGATGCTGCTACTGTCTCTGTGTTTTAAGTAGGGGGGCCGTCAGTCTGGCTTATACTCCTTGGTTTTGTATATGGCTAGGAAGTAAAAATTCCCATAACATATAAAATCAGTTACTTTAAGATAAATTGTTTAATACTGGTTTTTTTTTCCATAAGAGGTAAAGTCTGTGTTGGCATCAAATTTTGCTTTTCCATCAGAACTTAATTAGAGGTCTCTTGTTTTTCAGGTTTTTTTCTTCCTTGACCTGAGTTCAAAAACATTTTTACTGTTCTCAAATGTGTATACCCTTAAATTCCAATGGAAAGGTTAAGAGAATACTACCAGCTGTGTTTCTCTAAAAACAAAACAAAACAAAAAACCCCATAGGCTAGATTACCCTTGGTTAAGTTTTAACATGATAGAAAATTTTAATGATTAAAACTTGTTGGGAGTATGGATAAGCTTTTAGTTAGTCAGATGGTGCTGCTGGCTCTAGCTTTTTAAGCTCTTTCTTTCCTTTCATTTTCATAGAAGCCATGCTGTTGAGTCATAACGTAGGTATATGAGGTCTGAAAAGTAGAAACAGCTGTTTAGATGAGTGAATGGATTTTGTTTATCACACAATGGGTAACCAATTGCCTGGTTTACCCAAAGAAACTAAGCACTACAGCCCCACACTTATTCTATTGGAAACAGAGATGGCATGGACATTTTGAAAATCACGAGATTCCAGTTAGCTGTTAGTTTTAAGCTTTTCTTAAGTTTTTCAGCTCCCCACCCCCCACCCTCACTTGCTAGAAAGCTGTACCAATAGAAGATAGGTACTTAATACTTTTCTGCTCACCGATGACTATTGAGGTGAGAATCTATAATATGTGGAATCTAATAGTGTATTGCTAGTTTTTTTTTTAAAACCCCAAACATCTCAGCTATTATATGCAATAATGTATTCATCCAAATGAGTGTTTACTCATTTTGGGAGGCTGCCACCATCACTCCAAATGTCTTTGGAATTTCTCCTTTGGAACTGCCTTCAGAACCAGTTTACCAGCCACACACGAAAATCTGTGTCATCACCTTATGTTAATTACATTATAACCAGACCTTATTTGAACTAAAAATAGTATCATCCAGCTTAATTATCTTATTTATTCATCCTGCTTACCTTCTGGATGACTTTTGGCTGCTCCCTAAAATGACATCCATCCTTAAATTTAAGACAAAGACATGTGAACATGAATGATACTCAAAAGACTGTTACAGGTTCTGAAGGCAATTTGAGGAGTTCCTAAGATGGTTTTCAGCAATGGCAGGATCATTTGAATCACTGTAGAGCCTGACAAGTGCACTTAACCTTGTTTGACGATAGACATTCTGCCAATATTTGTTTTTCTTTTAAAAAAAAAAAAGTCATCCAAGGACTTTGGCATTCAAGGACTTGTGCCACAAAGACCATACATCCTATTTGACAATGTGGGACAGTTTTGATTAGGAAGTAGTATGACCAGATATCCTCATGGTTGGGGCAAAGGAGTCCAGAAGAAATACACTCGCTGGCCCTTATTAGTTCCTATCCATGTCCTCATTAACACAAAACAGTAATAAAAGACTGGAGATCACTGTATGTGAGAAGCCCATAGCATAAACATTGTACTTTTAGTTGAGTTTGAAGTTTTAATCTACACAGCATTCCTGGTTTTATTATACTTACTGCTTTTACTTTTGGATAACTTCTATGAAAGACGTGGACCATACATGGAGTTATTCTTTGAAAACCTGGGCACATAAAAATCAAATCCAACTTGTTTTGAAACTAAACTGGATCTGTAAACAAATTGATCCTTTGAAACGGTTCTAGATTTCTGTATATGGTAAGGGGATTCTCAGTGTTTTTTTAACATTAAGTATCAGAGTTTTGTGTGGTAATCTTAAAATACAGGACAGGGATTATTGTCTTTTAGCTACCGCTAAGTTTGTCCTGTGAGTTTTGGATGGCACTTTTTCGAGGTGAACTCATGATTGAAGAGGACGTTTACGTGATAGAAATGTAACAGGAGTTCTGAACACAAATCAATCTGTATTTTGTAAGACTATCAAGTCAGGGATATGAATTCCTTTATGAAGTACAAAACTACATAAGGCTGTTGCTGGTAGCTGAAGTAATGTTAATAGCTTAGGAGGGAGAAAAAGCACAGGTTGGAACATCAAATAGTCCATGTCTCAAGGTTCCTTTTTTCCATATGTCCCAAAGGAAAAAATTTCACTTCCTTAAGACAGAAACTAGAGGCACTGACTGACCTTAATGTATTCTTCCACTTTCTCTTTTTTCTCCAGGTAAGTTGCCTATGTGCTGCTATTAATTTTCTGTACCTCTCTTCCCCTCCTCTCCTCCAGTTAGACATCTGGGTCATGATAGCCAACATTCTTGGTGGAGCTGAAGTATTATTGATACAAAGGTTTTGGGTGTTGCGTTGGAAGAAATAGTTAACATCCTTACTGATTTTTCTAAAGATGACTTGTTTGGGTTCTATTTAAGAGCTGTTAAAAATCTGCATCACTGAAGTAACCAACCACTGATGGATAAGATTGTTAGTGATGCCGTGGTATTTTGTTTTGTTTTGTTGTTAACTCTTTAAGACAACACTTACTTCTCCTAATAGAGAACTAACATTGAACTCTTTCGCTGGGTGATTCTTGGTTTGCACATTTTTTCTCCTATTGCTGAAATGCAGTTCTTCTGAATGTTTCAAAATAAATTTCAGGAAGTGCATTTTCATTTTAAGAACACTTTCTCTTAAAATTATTCTTCATAGGTTATTGTGTTTTTAGGAGATTTTTTTTTTTAAAAAACATCCACCAACTGTAGTTTGTTATTTTTGTACATGTCCAACTAGGATTCAGGGGGCACTGTCTAGCCAGGGTATGCTTCTGTTTGAATTCTTCCTGTGCTCCGAGGGTACCACTAGCTCTCAAAATCTGGGACGAGAGAAGAATGTAATAAATGCATATAGCGGTTTCTGAATAAATGAAAATTTCTTTAGGTGAAAGTAGCAAGAATAGTACAAATGCAAGACCATTCTTATTTGAACATAACATGTTATGTTTACAATATGTTAGACAGTTATAAAACCTATAAGGACATGTTCCCTGTTGTCATGGAGAGAGTCATATCCACTTTATATTAAAGCAGCTTGAAGAAAAAAATAGATGTAAAATATGAAATGCATTATGAGAACTTGTAAGCTAACTGTGCCAATCTGACTTCAGTTTGTAGTTGTTAATGATTATTATCTTAGGTTATACCAGTACATCGTTTTGATTGCAAAAGAGGGGGGAAAAATGAATGTCAGAAAAATTCATAACGTTTTATTTGTGAGATGTAAATAATATATACAGATTGTGGTATGTAATGATCTGAGGAGGTATTTAAATTCTAGGATTTTTTTCCCAGTAAGAGACTGAATGCTGTTTATGAGAGAAAAAAAATGAATAAATAGCTATGTTTGGCCATGATTATTGTGCCTGTCTTTTGAATGATTATACCTGGTTTTACACACACACACACACAGACACACACACACACACACACACACACACACACACACAGAGGATGTTTGTGTTTTGGTGGGGCCCTCATGGGAACACAGTCTAGACCTCAGCCCTGTAGGTTCACAGGTGTTCAGAGGTAATCAGGCTGGCTCTGGAGAACTGACTCAGGGCTAAGCAAACCCACCAGAAACTGATTTTATAAAACAGTGCTAATTTACTCTAGTGCATATGCCTAATTACTAGTACTGGTTATTTTCACAAGATACTTCTGGCAAGTCCACTCCGCCAAATTAAAAGAAAAAAAATATAGAGTTGATTGTCAAGTAGGAAATCAGAGAATGGGAGAATCATATGGGAAGTTAATCTAGTAAGCCTTGATAAAAATTCCTAATCTAGGGATGTTTCTGCCTAAAGAACCAGTATTGCCTAGACTTAGATACCAATATCTCTCTGGCTCAGATACAAATATTTTCACTTTGGCCATGGGGGGTGAGGGTGGGGGAACTACTCTATTGAGAACTACCACCTTTGTATTATAGCAACTTTACCTTAGAGGAGGTCTAGTACAATTGAGGTGCTTGCCTTGATTTGTTAGTCAATTAAGCATTTTTAAGGGACAACCATGCTCTAAACACTACTAGGTACAGGAAATAAGAGGACAGGAATTATCCAGCTCTTGCTCAAACCACCCCCCCCCTCCCAAAATAACATTAGGGGGAAATAGGGCAGCTGGGTGGCTCAGTGGGTAGATGACTGGACTTGGAATCAAGAAGACTTATTCCTGAGTTAAATTCCTGCTTCAGACAGTTACTAGCTGTGTGACCCTGGGCAAGTCGCTTAACTCTGTTTGCCTCAGTTCCTCCTCTGTAAGATGAGCCAGAGAAGGAAATGGCAAACTACTTTATCTTTGCCAAGAATACCAAAAGTCACAAAAAGTCGGACACCACCAAAGTGACTGAACGAGAGAAATAACGTACATATATAGAGGCGCACAAAAATTTGTACAAAGCAGATACAAATTTGCTGGAGCAGGGAAGGATCAGGAAAAGCCTCGTGTTTGGGGTGGCAACTGGGCTGAGCTTCGAAGGAAGTCAGATTGTAAGAGTGAGATGGGGAATGGGGGGTGGGATGGAGGGTGGCAGACTTGAAGGACAGACTGCAAAGATAAGGAATTTGCATGGCAAATAGCAACAAGAATCATTTGGCTAGAGCACAGTTTGTGAAGGGGAGTAATGGGTAATAAATCTTGAAAGGTTGATTCCAGGTTGTGGAGGGCTTTAAATGACAAGCAGAAAAGTCTTTTGGTATTTGGTTTTTGTGGCAATAGGGATTTGGTTTTTTTTTTTTTTTTTTTTTTAGGCAATTGGGGTTAAGTGACTTGCCCAGGGTCACACAGCTAGTAAGTGTCAAGTGTTTGGTCTGAACCCGGATTTGAACTCAGGTCCTCCTGACTTCAGGGCTGGTGCTCTATCCACTGTGCCACCTAGCTCCCCCTGTAGGGAGTTTTTTGAGCAAGGAAGTGACATGGATGCTTTGCAAAGCCCTTCAAGAAAATCCCTTTGGTGCAGGTGGTGGATGAATTGGATAAAGGAGACAAATTTGGAGGCTATTGCCGTAGTTCAGGCAAGAGGGGATAAGAGTCTGGACTTGGTGGGTATGCAAGTGAAGAGGTCAGATTGGAAAGGGGTCATGGATGTAGAAATAACAAGGTTGGGTAACTGAGCAGTGTTGTGGAGGGACTGAAATTGTGAACTGCTACCTTTCAGTCTTCTTACACCTTACTCCCTGACAAGTACTCTTTAATTCAGTGATACTGGGTGTTCCATAAACAAGACACTCCTCTCTCAGCTCTGGGCATTTTCTCTGGCCATCCCCTGCTTCCTTTAAGTTCCATCCAAAATCTCATGTTTTATAGGAAGCCTTTCCCAACCTCTCTTACTTTGTTTTTTGTTTTGTTTTGTTTTTTTTTTGCTAGGTTATGGGGTTAAGTGACTTGCCCAGGGTCACACAGCTATTAAGTGTCAAGTGTTTGAGGCCATATTTGAACTCAGGTCCTCCTGACTCCAGGGCCAGTACTCTATCCACTGCTCCACCTAGCTGCCCCTCAAGGACTCTTCTTAAGGGCTTAATTCCCTGAGTCAAATCTCTCATTCTAACTTATGGTGACCATCCAATAAACTGTCAAATTTTCATCTGTTCAGATGAGGATATAAACCAGATAATGGTGATTTGTTTAAAAATGATCAAACATGGGTTATATGAGGAAAAAACAAAACAAAATCTCAAGTAGCTCGTCTGCTGATCAAAAACAGATCTGGTCTATTGCTGGGACCATACTCCATTCGTATCCTTTCTTAGGGAGAAATACTAGAAGAAATAAAACCTTTGCTCCATGGGATAAATGACAATAGAGATTTAAGAGGAGTAAACCATACCCCTGCCTCAATAATCAACTTGTGATTTTTTCTATTGAATCAACCAATCAAAGACATTAACTAGATGTGGAAAAAGTCCTTGATTAATTTGGAAAAAGTGAAAGCCATTGGACGAAGTATAATGATGCCACACAGGGTTTTGGAATGGCCCTGTTACTTAAATTAAAAAAAAACAAAACCCTAGCAGACCAGTTCAGAACCCAGGAAATTCCAATCTAGAGCCAGGAGAGGGTAGTTCCAGCCAAGCTCTTGAGAGGGAAGTTAGTTGGGGTGTCAGGTGGGTGATGATGACCCTCAATTCCCCTACCTTGACTGAAGGATGTCAGAAGCTTGGAGGCATGAGAGATTTTTCTCATCAGCATCCCAGCAGCATCCCCAGGACAGCAGCAGTTGGTAGTAGTGAGTGCATTGGGAGCCAAAAACAAATGACAGGCTGGGGAAAGGCAGCTTCTAGACTATAAAAAACTTAGCAGAAAGCTATGACATACCTAAGAGGAGCTCCAGGAATATCCCAGGAAGGACTTCCAGCAACTAAGAACTGCTGAATTACCCCTTTGCAACATAGACTCTCTAAGCTTGAGCCCACTTTGCCCTAGACTGGCCAAAGAGTGTGCCAAATAATTTTTTGGGGGGGAAGGGAGATGTTTCATATGAATTGTTTTCATCTTAGTAAATACCCATTTTTAGAAGCTAATTAAGTCTAGCTAAGTGATATCAAACAACAATCAATAAGGGGAAGCACACAGGTGGGGGCTCGTGAGAGATAGCCTAAGAATGATACCTCCAACCCTTCAGGGTCTCCCCTAGAACTCTGGGGGTGGAAGTAGCTATGCACTGGGACCTCACCTGAAAGTGCAAGTGGAATATGGGAGAATGAGCCTAGGGACTAGAGCCCAGGGAGAAGCCTGAGCTTCTCATTTCTTATCTCACTTCCGCTTTGTTCTACAAAAGACAATGAACTTTACACTCCAAATGATTGAATGAAAATCTGTCTCTAGGAGAGTTGAATACCTAAGAGAAATAAGGCCATAATAAGAGAATACCTTACCTACTCTTGATGTAAATCAAGCCACCTGGCCCTGATGAACTATATGGTCAAGGACTAAAAGAACCGGCAGCTATAATTACTGAGCTACTGTCAGTAATATTTGAAAGATCATGGAAAATTGAGAGCTATCGCAAGATTGGTGCAGGCGTAATGTCATGATTTTCCAAAAAGGAAGAGAAGAGTCTATAAATTATAAACTATTCAGCTTGTCCTGGAAAAATTCTAAAATGGATCATTAAGAAGATGCTTGACAAACATCTACCCAGGGAAGCAATGATTGCAAAGAGCCTATGTGGCTTCATAAAGAACAAGTCACTCCGGCTGAACCTCTCATGCTTTTCTGACAGGATTATCAAACTAGCGTTGTTCAGTCACGCTCAACTCTTCATGATCCCATTTGGGGTTTTGGCAAATATCCAGGATTGGTTGGCCATTTCCTTCTCCAGCTCATTTTGCAGATGAGGAAACTGAGGCATACTGGGTTAAGTGACTTGCCCAGGGTCACACAGCTAGTAATTGCCTGAGGCCTGATTTGAACTCATAAGGTGAGTTTTCTGACTTCAGACCTGCAACTCTATCCACTATGCCATCTGGCTGCCTATTAAACTGGGAGAGAAAGGGAATATTGTCAATATAGTTTACTTAGATTTTAGCAAAGCTTTTGATAAACTGTATTATTCTTGTAGAGAAAATGGAGAGAGAACTGATTAGGTAAACATTGTATAGAAATTAAGGAGAAAACGGCTGCTTCTCACTATCGATCTCAAGAGTGTTTTGTGCATTGCCTCTCCATGTATATATGTCTCTGCTCCATCTGATGAAGTCTTGGGCCGTCAACTTCTTCATCAGGTGAGCATCTCACAGATCGATCTTTAATTTAGCTAACACAATATCATTAGCTGGATCCCCTCTGTCTAGAGCCCCTGCTATCAGCAGGTTGCAGTGTGTAGCCTTCCTGAGCCAGATTCTGACAAACTATCGGATATTTCTCAATTTTGCCTGCCCTGGAAGATTGGAAGACAGAATATCTATTTTCAGAGGTTATAAAATGCCAGTATATTTATTTCTTATTGTCCAAAATGACTAAATCTGACTCCAGGTCTGGCGCTTATCCACTGCTGCCCCTAGTATCCTAGTAAAGCCTTTCCATAGCACTAATCGGCCTCCCCGTGCAAACTGGCCCATTTTAATGCTCACCATATTGCCTTGTGTGGACCTCCGCCAAATGTGTCGGTTAGGTCGAGTCAGGCCACCCCACAATTTTCCTTTTATATTTGGCTTTACCCAAGATGAACTGCAATAAGAAATGTACGTTTGCGTCAGCTATCAGTAGGCATGAAACCCTTGGGAGTCCTGCTGATGCATCCATTTCTCATAATCTAATTGCTGAATCTTTTCACCAGGACAGAGGCATAAACCTTGCCCATGGTGTTGCCCAGTTGGAGGGCAGAGTTCTGTTATCCTTTTTTTATAAATTAAAGTGGTTGTAGATAACTGCCACTCCTTTGGGACACCATTTTATTTAATAAAAATAATATTTAATTTAAGGATACAATCAGATTCCAAATGGGCTAGACGGCCACCCTCAAAGAGTGGTTGTTAGTGGTGCAATTTCAACATCGCAGGAGCTGCCCAGGCGAGGACCGCGGGAAGCTAACAGGGGATCCAAAAGGACTCCGACAGACTAGAAAGTCTTGGGCTGAATCTGGTAAGACTCCTATCCATATGGATATTTGCATATGGGTAGAACTCGCCCAAGATCACACAGCTAGGGAGTATCAAGTGTCTGAGATCGGATTTGAACTCAGGTCCTCCTGACTTCAAGTCTATCCACGGCACCACCGAGCTGCCCCCCCCCTTTAATAGCTCCTTTTTATGTCCGGTCTTCGCGATTACAGTGTAAGCTCCCAGAGGGCAGGGGCGCGTCCCGTAGCTCCAGGAGCTCCCGCAGGGCTTGGCGTTCGGCAAACGCTTACCCTACGCTTGTTCCCTCGGGCGAGGAGACCTCCCCCTCCCCCACCCCAGCCTCTCTCCAACAGCGCAGGCGCGGCTACCAAGGAGAGCGCCCCTCCGGTCGCGTCCATCGATCGTTCGGGAATCGGCCGCTTCCAACCAGCCTTGCTCGGTGCTCCGACAGGCTTCGTTCTCTCGGGAGGAGGAGGGGCCGCGCGGAGGAGGCGGCCGGAGACCGCTCAGCCCCACCCCCAGCCTCTTCTCTTGACGCAAACCCGGGCTCGGAGTGCGCGCGCGCGGCTTAGGGCGGTGGGGTCGGGGGAGGTCGAGGGAAGCGTCCGCCGAGGGGCGGGGCAAGAGGAGGAGCGCAGTGACGTCATCGCCTCGCCCCTGGCCGGCGCGCCAAAATCGAACGAGGCCGGCGGGCGGCGTCTCCCGCCTTTCCCGCGTCTCCCGGGTCTCCCGCGCTCGCGTCCTGTCAGAGCAGCGGCGGCCGCGGACCAGACGACATGGCCACCCCGCCCAAGAGGAGCTGCCCGGCGCCCGCCGCCGACGGGGGGGCCCGCATCAAGAAGATCGCCGTCGAAGGCAACATCGGTGAGGAGCCCGGGATCCTCCCGATCTGACGGGCGGGGAAACTGAGGCCCGGGCGGGGGAGGGCAGGCAGGGGGCTCAAGGGCCCTCCAGGTCCACGCCCCGATCTGACAGGCGGGGAAACTGAGGCCCGGAAAAGGGAGTTCAGGAGCCCTGCAGGCCCGCGCCCCGATCTGACTGGTGGGGAAACTGAGGCCCGGAAAAGGGAGTTCAGGGGCCCTGCAGGCCCGCACCCCGATCTGATGGGCGGGGAAACTGAGGCCCGGAAAAGGGAGTTCAGGGGCCCTGCAGGTCCACGCCCCGATCTGACGGGCGGGGAAACTGAGGCCCGAGAGCCCCCCTGTGCTGCTGTTCCCCCCCCCCAGCACAGCAGCTGGCCCGGCTTGCTAGCTCGGTCACTCTGGCTAAATTACTTAATTTACTTGAGCCTCAGTTTCCTTATCTGAGAAATGGAGGTAATGCAATGTTTATTTCTCAGGGTTGTCGCCAAGAAAATGTTTGCGAATCTTATTATACCAACCAACATGAGAGGTTATTACAAGCTTGTATTACTTACTCTTGGACTGTTGGAATAGTATTTTTTTGTTGTTGTTGTTTTTAATTTTTATTGTGAGCTTTTGTTTTTTAAGTCACCTCTGTTGCTGAACGTATCCCCCCCTCCTTCACTACCTATAAAGTAGGAAAGAATAAGAAAAAGAAAAAAAGAAAGCCCCGCCAGCCATCGCAGTGGGGTGCGCCAGCCTATGCAGTTTGGAAGGCATCTGATGGGTCTTCCTGCCTTCACTTCGCTGCCTCCAATCCAGGAAGACTTCCAGACTGATCTTCCCTCTGTAAATATTTTTTCACTCTCCTTCTCAAAACTCGTAATTGTCTAAAAAGTACTGCTGTGACTCCTTGGTTTGGGCACTGCAGGCCTTTAGCAGTTTAGCACCATCCTTATCTCATATTGCATCACCATCCCCCAATATCCCTTTCACATCTCTGGGGGCTAGGGGCATGGCGCCTCAAGATCTGGAAAATCCAAGCAAAAATTTTTGGCCCTCCTTCCGTACTGGAGAAGAATTTTTTCTTTTTCTTTTATGGGGTGTTTACAGTACCTTATTGTAAAATTTGGATTGATATTATATGATGCTGTATATATATATTAGATACATCTTTTGAGTTTCTAAATTTTTTCTGCGTCATCTGCTGACCTTTGAGTATCATCTGTGGCTTCCACAAAACTCCCTCCAAATTCCCATTTAATTTCTTATGCTGACTCGAGATATATCAAAACTGCATTGGGGAAAGTTGAGATGGTGGAAGCGGTAATTTACTCCTGGCTTTCCCAACTGTGGTGAGTGGATAAGAGCACTTGATTTGATGCCAGAGAATTTAAATTCATATCTTAGCTCTGCTACTTTCTATACTGTGTGACCTAATCTCTGGGTCACAGTTTCCTCATCTGAAAAATGAGGAGGCTGGACTGGTTGATCTCCAACGTCCCTTCGAATTCTACATCCTAGGACCCTAATATATTTCTTTTACATTTTGATCTGTTGACTTTCTTGCCTATCCATTGATGCCCAATAAAGATAAAAAAAAATCAATAAAATTTTATTTCTGCCTGCTAGAGCATTCATTCCTTCATTCAAGGAATAGTTATCGATCTCTTTCTGGTCAATCATCTTTGTCCATTCTTCCAAAGACAAAACTAGCCTAAGGCTTCACCTTTATGTGCTAGAAAAGATCAATTTGTTCTCCAAGAGGCCCAGGCTTATTTGTTTCATAGGTAGAATATTCATTCAACAGATTCCTCCCTCACCCCCCACCTTCTGTCCTGTGGCTGGAGCTAGGATTGTAGGGGATCATAGATTTACAGCAGGAAATAGAGGGCATTTAGTCAAACTTTCTGATTTTACAGTTTAGGAAACTGAGAGCAGATGGGTGACATGACTTTCCCAATTGGGATCAGAAAGGTAAGAAGTATCAGAGCTGGATTTTAACCCTCAGATCTTCTGACTCTAAAAACAGCAAATTTTTCACTGTATTCTAGCTTAGGGAATAGGTTAAAAGCAACAGCTTTCCCCATTGAAAACCTTAGACTATTAAACAAGGCTAGAATTGGAAAAATGAACTGTTTGTCAAAGATATAGTTAGAATCCACTATGATGGGTGGTTTCGTGATGAAGAATTAAGGAATGTGTCAAAATCTTGTGAATTCAGTGCAGAATTGTATAAAACAAGTGATTGCAGCAAAAGGAGACAATATTGCGTATTGAAAAGTTTTTGAAGATGCAAAAGTTGTAGGATTTATTATAGAAATCAATTTAATTAATTTTGTTGATATTTAGTCATTTTTCAGTTGTATCTGACTCTTCATGACCCCATTTAGAGTTTTCTTGGCAAAAATACTAAAGTGGTTTGCCATTTCCTTCTCCAGCTCATTTTACAGATGAGGAAACTCAAACAGGGTTAAGTGACTTGCCTAGGGTCACACAGCTACTAAGTGTCAGAGGCTTTGAACTCAGGAAGAGGACTTTTCCTAACTCCAGGGCCAACAGTCTATTCACTTCACCACCTAGCTGTGTACTAATTTACTTTGTGCTAATTAATTCACACACCATTATGTTATGTATTCATCAGAGCCTTGTGTTCACTTTTCCCCATACTACAGCCTTCCTTCAGAATGAGTTCCTTCTCCTTCAGCTCGTATTCTCCTTTATCTTATTCTCAAGTTCTCCCACATCTCTCTTTCCTCAAATTCAATCTTTGCCCTTCTTCGTAGGTCTAAACACCTCAAAATCACCCAATTTACTCAATTTCTCTCACATTTCTCCTCAAATTTAGTCTGGTCTCATTCACATATCCAAACCCCTTTAAATCACCTTTACAATTCTATTCTCCTTTTCAGGCCAGTCCTTTCTTTTACTGTTCTTCTCCCATAGCCTTTCAGTCAAATATATAATGTATTAAAGTACTTTGCAATTTAAAGTGTTTTACGTTAGCTGTTTCTAGTAATTATTAATTTGGTATGGGTAGTTCCTCCTCCAACACAGACTGAAATCCCTTTGTAACTTGATATAGGGTCTTTTAAAGTTTCTTTGGAAAATTTGTTATTCTGATAGCTAGGCTAGTCCTTGGAGAAAACTAATCTTCCATAAACCAGTGATGATGGATTTGCTGAATATGGTTTATAAATATATTTGAGAGGCTTCTTCTCTTATACTGATCTTTGAAAAGCATTTTCATTTTTAATGTCTGTTCCCAAGTGCTTTTTAGGCTTGGTAAAGTCCTGGTAAAAAGTATTAAGTTGTAGTCATTGGAGAGAGTCGACAGGGCCTTTCACACTTAATGCTATTTATTTATTTATTTATTTGTAGGCAATCAGGGTTAAGTGACTTGCCCAGGGTCACACAGCTAGTAAGTGTTAAGTGTTTGGTCTGAGGCTGTATTTGAACTCAGGTCCTCCTGACTTCAGGGCCGGTGCTCTATCCACTGCGCCACCTAGCTGCCCCCATTAATGTTATTTTTGACTGCAGAACAAACCATGTTTTTGACTTATTCAGGTGAATTATACCTTGCATTAATACAACAACTTCTGTGGTTTTGAAAGTTTCCAGAGACACTTTTCACTTCATTCTCATTCACACTCTAGAGTCATTATTTTTCTCATCTTGTCACTTTTACAAATGAGGAAACTGAGGCCTTGTGAAGTTGTGAAATGCCTTGTTCCCACAGTAAAGTGTCAGTGACCTAGAAATCCTCCCTCTGCAGGCTAGAAAGAACTCCCTAACTTCAAGTCTACTGCGTTTCTTTGCAGACCTTGTTTTTAAATTGGTCACTGTAATTCTGTATTCATACAACCCCTCACCTCATGCTCCCCTTTAGTGGAACACTCTTTTATGTTTTGTTTATGGTGGGTTCACCTCCTGCCTCTGATCTTAGCATTCAGTGCACAATGACTTTTGGCACAATGATCTCAGTATAAAACACTAATCATTAGGAACTTCTTAGTTCCCATGACTTTTTTGCCTGAGTATCCTTGGCTGTGTTCCTTTTTGCCTCCATAAAGAATATTAGTGTATTAGTTTGTTCCAAAAAAAGGTTGAAAAACTGGACATTTGCCCAAGTTGGAAAATGAGAGTAAGTATTGTTCCCCTGCTACAAATCTGTTGTGAGGGCAGTATTTCTTCCACTTTTTAGGATGTGACCAACATGAACATTCCTTTTTCTTTGGCAGCATCAAGAGAAGGCAGAATAGTCCAGTGCTGTAAGTTGGGGGATGACTTTAGAATCCAGTTGGTGGCCTGACTTTTTTTTTACAGTATGTTTTTTGGTGGTTTCTCATGAGCACCACCTCTTCTTTTCACTCCTGATTAGCATTAGGGCTGGTTACTTTGTCAGTGCTTCCTTTTCTGCTCTTTGCATCTTCTAAGTACTATACATTTGTTCTTTATACAGTCATCTGTGATCACTTTTGGTCTTCCCCTCATCAATTATACTCGCCTGTAGGTCATACAGATGAGGAAACAGAGGCCAGGGGAGTTATGTGATTGCCCAAAGTTAGGCAGGTAATATGGAGCAAGGCTAGGATCTGAACTCAGGTCTTTGAACTCCAAGTACAGCCCTCTTTTTACTCTACACGTAGCCTAGAAAATAACCGAAGCCTGGCTTCCGCTTCCACACTGTGTCTTGCTTCCCTTTTCGGGCAATCATCTTGCTCCTTACTCAGCTCTTCCTTCGTTGCCCCCTTCATTTCTGTAGATCTTTTTTCTCTGTGACTTTCCCTTTGCAGGAGGAAAAAGGAAGGAGCTCTTTTCTTCCTTATCCAATGACATGTGCAGAAAGACTGATTGTCGGCTCTCCCTTAATCCCTCCCCCTTCTATCTTTGTAACTTTTTCTTCTTTGCTCTTTATGCACTTAGACATGTTGTTTTATATGATGGTTATTTGTATCTCACTGATAGACCGTAAGCTCCAGGAGGGCAGATACTCTGTCTCATCCCAACTTTGTATCTTCC